TTCCAGCGGGCACACTTTTTTGAATAAAAATGCTTACATCTATATACCAATCGTTAGTTCTTCGTTAGTTCTCGATAGTTCTCCAATATTAACGTTAGTTCTCAAAAAATAAAAAAGTTACGAGGCATACAAAGTGGGTACGCCAACTTCACAATTATAGAATTTCCAGCGTGCACACTTTTTTGAATAAAAATGCTTATATCTATATACCAATCGTTAGCTCTTCGTTAGTTCTCGATAGTTCTCCAATATTAACGTTAGTTCTCAAAAAATAAAAAAGTTACGAGGCATACAAAGTGGGTACGCAAACTTCACAATCATACAATTTCCAGCGGGCACAGTTTTCTGACTATAAATGCTTATATCTATATACCAATCGTTAGTTCTTCGTTAGTTCTCGATTCTTCTCAAAAACGTACCCTCAACTATTCTTTCAAACATTCACAGCATCGTTCTTAAACAGTTTCAAAATACGTTCAAAATTAAAAGTGTTAGGCTATTAATATATACCGAGAATAAATATTGTTATCTTATGATAAATTAGTTTTTATAATAAAATATTAATTGAAATTTAGTTTAATGATTTGAAATACCCCCGCCGCAGCAAACCTGCCGACTAAGCGAATTTCCATTTGTCTGAATTGATTTTCATTTAAATATATTTTAATAACATTAGGTTTAACGAGTACCTAGGTTTGCTGCTACAAGGAAACTAATAAAGTGTGTTTTTGAGCAAAATATTGATAGCTTAGTACAAAATAAATAAATTTGCCAAGTTTGATCAAAATATATTCATAAACAAGCAAACTACAACATTTGACAATATTCTCCATAAGAATAACATGGGAATTTTAAATTAACAATTTTTTTTAATTTTTTCCGTTACTAATAATCGAACAAAAATACTTTTACATACTAAATTATTTGTTTTTTTAAGCTCTTTAAAAAGGTCTAAAGAGAAATTGGGAAATTTTGTGTTTTGAGGGTCAAAAGTGAGAAAAACAAATTTTTACCCCATAAAACCCTCCGTAAAGCCCCGTTCCCATGGTCCGATCGTGCTGGTTCGCGAACTCATTCAAGTTTATCCCGCTTTACACCTTTAAACCAAATTTCATCAAAATCGGACAAAAATTACTCAAGTTATCGCGTTCACGGACGTATATATATATATAAGTCTATATATATATATATATACATATATAAAAATTTGAACGAATAGTGTTTTTGGCCTCTGGGGACATCAAAATGAAAAAGTAAATCGGTCCCGGGTCTAGGTCTTACCGTGCCACCTACGGTAATAGCTACTTCCCTATAGGGAAATTCGCTAAAAAGGGGATTTTATTCAAGTTCCATGCCTTTAGCCGGCTCCAGACTGTACCCACGCAAAGTACAGAACAGCAACTCGCCGAATCGCGAGTAGTAGGCCTATGACAGCAAATGCTCGTGCTCGTGTTTTCCGTTCATTGCCGGTATTTTTGCACACTTCAAAGTGAAGGAATATTTTTGCCATTCTCGAAACGAACAGTTGGTGGGAAAACAACACATGTGTGTAGACACATGTAGATATAGATATAAGCATATAGTCAGAAAACTGTGCCCGCTGGAAATTGTATGATTGTAAAGTTTGCGTACCCACTTTGTATGCCTCGTAACTTTTTTATTTTTTTAGAACGAACGTTAATATTGGAGAACTATCGATAACTAACGAAGAGCTAACGATTGGTATATAGATATAAGCATTTTTATTCAAAAAAGTGTGCCCACTGGAAATTCTATAATTGTGAAGTTGGCGTACCCACTTTGTATGCCTCGTAACTTTTTTATTTTTTGAGAACTAACGTTAATATTGGAGAACTATCGTGAACTAACGAAGAACTAACGATTGGTATATAGATATAAACATTTTTAGTCAGAAAACGGTGCCCGCTGGAAATTCTATAATTGTGAAGTTGGCGTACCCACTTTGTATGCCTCGTAACTTTTTTATTTTTTGAGAACTAACGTTAATATTGGAGAACTATCGAGAACTAACGAAGAACTAACGATTGGTATATAGATGTAAGCATTTTTATTCAAAAAAGTGTGCCCGCTGGAAATTCTATAATTGTGAAGTTAGTGTACCCACTTTGTATGCCTCGTAACTTTTTTATTTTTTGAGAACTAACGTTAATATTGGAGAACTATCGAGAACTAACGAAGAACTAACGATTGATATATAGATGTAAACATTTCTCATCAGGAAACGGCGTGCGCTAGAACCCGGAAGTGTGAAGTTAGCGTACCAACTTATTATCGGCTATAACTTTTTTATTTTTTGAGAACTAACGACAAAATTTGGGAACTATCAAGAACTAACGATGAACTAACGATTGGTATGATCAAAAGTGGATACGCATTGATCTGTCTAAGTGTTATTTTTTCAATAAATGTAAATATCTTGTTTGGTAAACAAAGGATGTAATTGAATCTGTAAGTTAAGACAAGTATGCGAAAACTACAGTTTTCCATTAGCTCAAGCCTAAATTATATTGTATGTAATGTAGCTTGTTATATTTCTTTATTTTCTCACGTAAAAACATTTAAATTATGTATGATGTATAAATATAAAAAAATTAACAACAAATCCATTTGAAAGTAAAGTTTAGACATTGTTACGGTCGACATTGGTACATTATCATTGGCGAAAATGCACATGCACATTAACATTAATGCGGCTATGTGTTTAAGTTGAGACACGTTTGTAGAAAACACTAAAAAGGCAATCTTCTAAACAATTTTAAAATATTTACAACTTTAATTATATAGAAATGTTCATAACACAGTAAGTAATTCCATTAGTTGCATAAGCTTTTACGTGAGTCTTTTTAATTAATTAAAAATTAAGTCTGTAATAATTCTTAAAATAGCTCCTGTAATACCGGTACTTGATAATTGCTTGATTTCTAGCAACGAGTACACAAGTTAAAAATTCAACAATGCATTAACATAACAAGCTCTCTTTCACGCTGCAAGACTAGTAAACGGCAGAAGTAAGGCAGAACGGCAGAACTGCGGTATTGGTTTACCATACACGCCTGCAACGATGTGCTGCAAACCGCGCGACGAGTAGCTAAATGAACCGTAGAGTAAGTGAGCCTTCTAATATTTGTAGAGGGTTCACTTACTCTACAGATCATTGTGCCAATGAACTGTAGAGTAAGTGAGCCGTCTTCTATTTGTGTAATAGCATAGACTAACCAACACAAGTAGACTTCTCATCCCATTGTAAATTTTGAAGCACGTTTTTCGTGTCTAGTTCATGTACGTGACACAAAGGCGCTAGTGTCGATGAAACTTTGTTTCCATTATTTTAGGGTTAATTTCTTGATTTGTGCTTTACTGTTTGGTTATTTAACTAGGGGACAAGTTATTGTTTATGATTAGATCGTATTATTTGGTTAAACGAGGTTTTAAATGGCTGTAATAACGGGAAACAAATTGTAAACAAAACACGACCTCTACATAAACCGTACATGAACTAACAATAAAATTGTCTTCAGCTGTTCCATAAGGATGAGAAATCTACTAAGGGAGTATGTTTTATCTATGGTAATAGTTATCATGAAATAGGCTCGTATAGTATACGAGCCTACTCCTGTAATTTATTTAAATTCAGTATTTTGGCTCGTATACTATACGAGCTTATTCCTGAATTATTCAAGAATTCATACGCTTGGCTCATAGGCACAATGATCTGTAGAGTAAGTGAACCCTCTTCATTTATTTGATATTTTTGATCGGCTCGTATAGTATACGAGCCTGTAGTGCAAGTGAACCTTCAATATTATTTACGAAGCTCGTATAGACTATGATTTGTAGAGTAAGTGAGCCATGTGTTTTAAGAATTACATATTTGGAGGCTCATTGTGTCAATGATTCGTAGAGTAAGTGAACCCTAACCTTAATTTCATTACGTCATTTAATGTTTGGTTATATAATAGGGGGCGAGTTATTGTTTATGATTAGATCGTTTTATTTGAAACGAGGTTTTAAATTTACTGAAATAACAAGAACTAAATAATAGTAATACCAAATAGTAAATAGTAAAACACGACCTCTACAGTGCACCGGACAGACTAACAAAATAACATTGGCTTCATCTGTTCCACAAGGATGAGAAACCTACTATAAGGGAGTATGTTTTATCTATTGTCTATGGTTCTTCTCTCACGTTGTTCAAGGTCTATCCCCTCCTTACATTACGTCAACAGCTTTTAGATGCTGTAGCTGTGGGACTATTATTTGAGGATTGACATAGACTATAGATAAGGGAGTATGTTTGGTTTAATCTATGGTATTGATGTAGTGTGATTTAGAAGCTCTGACACCTACCAAAAAAAAACATATTTTTTTTCTTTTATAATATAACAATGTAAAAAAAACATTCATTATGTCTAAAACAGCAACAGCTGGCTGGACGAAATCATAAAATGTCATTTAAATCTGAATTTTAACCAAGGTATTTGCATTACGTCTTTTATTCTTGATTTTCTTATTAATGTGATAAAAATTGCAAATATTTTATCTAGGTAATTGAAGGGTTCGTCCTAAGGTACTCTAGGTATTAAAATGTCAAGTAGCATAACTACATTGTTTTCAAAACATTTTCAAACACCGTGTTAAAATCCAATAAACTAATTAACTTACTTATTGACAATAATTGGAACGGAATTTAGTTATATCTGCTTATTATTCGTTTGAATTGGTTTTTATGACAGTTACCTGTTTCACTACACTGTAATCCAAATGTTTGGTACCTATTTATGATTTTATCCATAGGGTTATGAAATATAATAAATTCCCAACGACTGAATTTTATGTATTAATCAGAAAAATTCACCACCAACAAAATTAAATGTCTGTTTTAGCTACAATGTCTGACTTTGTTGGGTCACAAAAGAGCCTGGGAATCAGCCAGGATGTGTTGGACCAGTTTGGTAAAAGCGACGACAGAGTACAACCCAACTATCGGATATGTCAGATGTGGAGGGTAAAGACGAAGCTTTGCACACCAAAAACTCTCGCCAGCCCCAAACCAAGAGTTTTTCTTTCCCCGTCTGAACAATGGACAGTTTTCCAAAATGTGTTGGTAATAAAGGCTCTAAGTAGTTTAGTTTAGTTTGTAGGTTTGGAAATAATTCTTTCGTACCATGGTACGAATATGGACTATGGACGATTATGAGAAACACTCACATTCGTGATCAATAAAAGCTTAAAACCTCAAGTTAAGTTATCTACACAAAGCTGTTTACAAGAGCACCATTTTTTAGGCCTATAAGATTCATATGAACGACACACACCCAGGTTAAGTATCCTCATAAAAAGTAAAATGACAAAGCCCTGTGAGAGAAGTTTCATAGATGTAGAGAAACCAATGGCATTTATTTTAATACCGTACTTAAAAAGAACGACCGCAACTCAATCAAAATTCTGCCCCTATATAAGTTATACAAGTTAATTATACTTTTTAAAGGCTGTAGATGTAGCCTACCAAAGTTAAAATCAAATTTATGAGACGTACAACAAGTAAGTAGCTGTAAGTTGAGATTGCAAGGAATTAAGGTGGTAAAAGTTGTGTAAGTTTAGTATAATGGATCAATTAATTAATTAATCACAATTAATTTATGTCACTAAATAGCCTAAGTATTAGGAAAACTTAATTAGGCTAAAACTGACTGCAGAATTAGGCTAAAACTGACTGCTTTAGGCCTGCCTATTATTTTTCTTTTAGCAGATTTTCTATATAGGAAACAAGCTATTACCGTAGGTCTCATGATAAGACCTGGACCCGGGACCGATTTTCTTTTTTGTTTGGATGTCCCTAGAGGCAAAAAACACTATCAGTTCAAATTCATGTGTGTGTGTGTGTCCGTTAGCACGATAACTCAAGCAAAAATTATCCAATTTTGATGAAATTTGGTACAAACATGTAAACCTACATTTATTCGAAAGAGTTCTCAAACGAGCATGATCGGAATATGGCAATGGGGTTTTACGAGGGGTTTTATGGGGTAAAAATAGGCTTTTCTTATTTTTTACCCTCAAAACATTTCCCATTTTGAAGAGCTAAAAAAAAATATTTTAGTAGGCCTATATTGAAGTGTTTTTGTATGGTTATTGGTTACAGAGAAAATTGTAAATTTAAAACTCCCATGCTATTCTTATGGAGAATAAGTGAACTGTTGTAGTTAGCTTGTTTATGGACATATTTTGATCAAACAAGGCAAATTCTATTTATTTTATACTAAGCTATTAATGTTTTACAAAAAAACACACTTTATTACCCCTAAAGGCAGCAAACCTATGTACTCGTTAAACCTAATGTTATTTAAATAGATTTAATTAAAAATAAAATCAGGCAAATGGAAATTCACTTAGTTTGTGCATGTTTGCTGTGGCGGGGGTATTTTAACTTACTTTCACTCTATGTTCCAGAAAATCCCCAAAAACGCATACATGCCAAAGCTTCATCTGGATGGAAGTCAACCTATGAAACGTGTTATGATGGAACAGCAAAGACGAGACTTTTCACGTGTCAACATTCCGCTGTATTTGGAGACAGAATGCGGGGTTACTTATGAAGAACTTGTTCCTCCAAATCAAAACAATGTGCTCGGACACTTTCTTCCTCTAGAGCTATTTGACGATAAAGAATTTGAGAGCAGGTAAAGTTGTCGTTTGAATTAGTGTGGAACAGTAACAGTGTTAAATTAGGTAATTCAATGGTGATTAATTCTACGCAACTGTCTAGAGCGCCATTAAGTGTTGGTTGTCATGTTTTGGGAAGGAAGAGTGGTTCTCTAGGAGGAATATAAGGTGTTTTGGTACTTATTTACTATAGGTGCCTCCAAACGAATTTTTAATTTTGATAGCCTATCTTACTTAACAGTTTTTTACCTCCTGAATCCAAATATACCATTATTTTTCACCGCTCATGAATATTACTCCAAGATATTGCCGTAAAAATATACAACAGATGACTTGCAAGTGGAATGAACTGTGGGTGAAGTAACTCAAGCCTACAGCTAATTGTTTGAACCACGCGACAAGCAATTGGAAGTAACAATTTTTTTTATCAAACTCTGATTTTGATCGGCAATACGCCTAATGACGACACTTCACATCACTACTAGAACTAGAATAGTAGAATACCAAAACTAATACTGGTGCTGCTAGTCTGTCGATGCTAAGTTCAGGTTAAGTGAAGAGAGTAACATAGATGATAACATCGTTGATTACAAAATATTACCATTGACTAGAGAAATATTTCACGTGATTCTGTAGACAATGTTTTCTGGGGATTTCGTCACATCGAGATACAGTCTGACTAATTACATGTACCGGTAGTTATTTAGACATGTCAGGGTGGTCGGTCGAGCTTTATGCAAACTTGTGACTGTATTAAGTGTTTTGAAGTTGGATTAGATTTGGAAGGTAGAGTTTAGGTTATGAATCGAGGTGTTATATTACCTAGGCTACAGACTATTTTTGTACAATGAAAACCCTGAGAACACCGTAAAGTACTTTGAATAACACTAAGTGTTGTAGAATGTTTTGTTAAGTGTTGTCGTGTTGTAGGACTGAAGAGGAGTGGTTGTCTCTCGGAGAAGTAGAAGGCGTTAAACATCCAGTGCCTGCGTTAGTGTTTATAGCCAAACGGAAGAGCATGAAGCGGATATCTAGAGCAATGTCTAGCTTGGGTCGACCAGCAAGTGGGTCTGCTATGTCTAGCATGGGTCGACCAGCAAGTGGGTCGTTGAGTTTTACATCTAGGACATCTACAAAAGACGTCCCTAAGTGAGTTAAAGTATTTATGTCTCTTTAAATTTCAAGCTTAGATTATATTAAGACCCCAACACACCACAGGGTGCTTATTTTAAGTCCTGAATGGATTATATAGTTTTGTTTCTAACTCAAATCACCTAGGCTAGTTCCAGATATTTTTTATAAAAACCCCAATGATCATGGACAACTGGGTCCAAATCAATCCATTTTACTTCACCCTCAAAATTGCGTTTCTAAATATTTGAAAGGTAGAATTTTTTTAAATGTTGGAAACCTAAAGTAAATATATTTGATATTACTGTCCACCACAAATAACAATTTATTTTCGTAAGAATTAGTAGTTATAGTTATTATTTTTTCTCAAGTTTATCAGCAAGCTGATTTTTCTGTTGGGATGTAAGGGTTTACATTTGTGGAACTCTGATAGTCTTCTTCTTTTCCTAGGTTTTCGCGTACCAGGACAGACAGCTCGGTCCACATATGGGTGGACGTTGGTGTCATGGACTACGATCCAACTTCCGACGTCTACTCGGTCATCTCGCTTGATGGTGATCACGAAGAGTTTTTGGTGCCTCGGTCAGTAATGGTGGGGATGGGGAAAAGTTTACTGAGCATAGAGTCAATTAGTAAATATCTGCAAAATTGGAGAGCAACAGAAGTTATTTTTTTTACAATAATAATTAGCCTTAAGGGATAGTTAAGCCACATTTACACGAGGAAAGTTTCATGCTTCCAATGTATGTTAAGTTGCCAAAGGCAGTCAGTCTACTGCTTAAATGAAATTATCACTCATCTAACTTAAATATTATGAATTCCTTGCTAGGCCTATAACATATCTTCTGTATTAAAAGTTTTAGCCTCTGGAATTTGGTCAATGACTTGTTATTGTCTAGTAAGCAAAATTTTGAATGTAAAGGTTCATTTTCAAGCTGATGAAGTAGTTGGAAAAATTCTCTTCGTATTTGGAGTTATTTTGAGTCGTCATAAACACTTGATCCTTACACTAACACAAACATAAAAACATTTAGCATAACTAATGATTTCTGTTTTTCCAAACAGGATTTACTTGTACTTCAAAGCCGAGAACCCGTACAAGTATGCCGAACGAGTGCGGAACGCAGTGCAAGAGAGAAACTACGCTGAGAACTGTATCAGGTGAAGCCATTTCTTTTTAGAAAATAATTTATCAACAATAATTTTGTTTAACAAGTCATGGTTTTCCACTTATTCAGCTATTGTTTAACAGTACCAAGTGGTAGGGAATATAAAATTTCATGTAGGCCTACTTAAATGAATTATTTAATCTGGATGTCGTAATTTAAAAAATCATTGATTACCGATTCCAACAGAATTCAAATTGTTTTAAAATTCTTTAAAACCTGAATATTACAAAACTCAATCACTATAAGCCTTAGTTACGAAGTGTCAAATTTAAGTCTACGATGTTTCAATTTACAGATATCAGCTGTACGTAGATTGTATGCCGACTACCGAAGGCCCTCACATGGACCCATCCGTTCTTCACCGTATCTGCATCAAAAGTTTTTCCAAACGACTCAAATCTGACTGGATACAATTGTACAGTGAAATGGTTGGTTAAAATTACCTTCTTAAATTTTCTTATATTCTTTCTTTGTGGTTAATCTCAGTGATCTCAAACTACTGAAAGGTTGTGCAGTTCCAGATCTTAAAATATTTTGTCTGTTACAGTCATTACTCAGATTTTTCAAACTATAGCTTGAAATTTCCGATTTTGCCTTGGTAGTTGTATGCTGCACTAACATCAACACATCTTACTCCGGCAGATTTTACAGAATTTTTTTTAATTTTTGGCAGTTGTTAAACTGATTGTGTAGTTTTAGTTTTAACTTTTGAAATAATAACTTTTGATATCTATAAACCAACAGGTCTTACTATTCATTTATAAACATAATAATTATAGCAGTATTTTGGTGAATATTAATGAATTGCTAAAACCATTAAACATTCATAAAATATGTTTGACCTATGATGAAAACAAAATTGTTTAGCGTACAATAAATTTGAAATACAAACTCTGTCTAGCATACTTTATAGATGGAAAATTTTTTTATAAAAATGTATTTACTGTATATTATTTGTTTAAGAACAAAATGTTTATTAAAGCTGGAATTGAGGTAAATTCTTGGATATTCATCAATGATTTTGCCGAGAGAAATTTGAGTATAAGTTTTGTTTCAGCTACAAGAAGAAGTAAAACTTCTCTTTACTCGTACGTTTCTAGAAATGACCTTTCGGAAAATCTTGCTGAGTAAACCTGAAAGATTCCCTTTTATAAAACCCCCAAGAGAGCCTCCGCAAGTATTGAAGATAAAGGGTAATATTACATTGTTATTTTTAAAAATAATTTAAAACCAATAAAATATTTATTAATTAGAAAAAAAAACCTGAAATTAGATTGGTGCTACATAACGTGAGGACACCAGAGTTAGTTTAAAGTGATGATGAGTGTCTAATCAGATGACAGCATTGATACCAAGATCAAAATCTTCAATTTGCGTTGGGTTTGAAGATATGTTGGGTCATTAATGAAGAAAAAAAATACTAATACTCTGTTTACTGTAAAGGTATAAGAATGTCAATGCTTTTATAATCAGCAGAAAATCTCAAATGTTTTTCAAACTATTATCAAGAAGAGGTAAAAAAATATTTATGGTTGTTCTTCTAGAATTTATAAAAAAAAACTATAATACACCTAAAGTCCAATGTAACTACTTATTTAATGTGTTAAGAGGTTGGCGGCTTCTTTTAAGCTTGCATTTGTTGAAAAAGGCCGCAGCATGGGTGGAACGTACACAGCAAAGCAAGGAGTGAGCCGGTGCAGTACAAACGTGAACTGTTGATAAAATTTAATGGCGAACTAGTATGCACACCTATCTACCGTGAATTTGGGTCTACCGACTCACCACTTAACGAATTAGAGCGTGTCTACATTTTTTTAAATTGTTGGTAAACTTTTCCGATTCTTGCAGGTGCAGGTAAAAAGGACTTTGCAGAGACGTTGGCACATCAGCGATGGGTGACCGTGTTCTCTATCCCCAACTCTGTCCGAGCCGTGTACCTTGTTATTGGCTCTCTGATTGGTTTGGAGAAAAACAACTTCTTCAACATTCTCTACACAAAGAACGTGTCCTTGGAGGAGTTTGAGCGCTTGCAGACACTGCAGACAAACAATGTGAATTGATAAGTTGTTCTTACTTACCATGGCTATTTTTTATAAATAAGTACATTTTCGCCAAACCACACTAGAACTATAAGCGCACGGTTGTCCCATATCCTTGTATCCTCTGTATCTTACTTCTCTCGGGGGAGCAAGCTGGTCTAGTGGTAGAGCGTGGGTCTTCGGTCACGGGTTCAAATCCTGCCAAATCATTAATGGATTTTACATAAAGTTATATTGCCGCAAACCCTAGGTCTAGCCTGAAGTAATGTGCAAAACAATCCCAGGCTCGTGTCTAGCGTCCTAGGACAAAATATCTCACTTCTCCGTGCTTGTGCCTAATTCTTCTCCTTATTCTTTTCTTTCTTGGTGTAGGCCTAGTAATTTCCCTTCACTACACCACAGTTCAGTCTAACATACACAACAAATACAACACTGGAATACTCCACAATTGCAATACATTTCCTAGTAATTCATAATTATTCATTTGTCTAGTATTCCTGTACATATATTTTAATAGTGATGGGTCGGTACTTTATGTCCAATGTTGGTTCCATCGGTTCTTTGGAAAAGAACTGGGACCGAGAATCGATGGTGAAATGTTGGTACCACTTGGTACCATGGTTGGTGGTATCATACTACTGGTGGTACCACACTTGGTTGTATACCAGAGAACCGAGAATAGATTTTGGTTAAGAACCGGTATCGGTATCGACTTTAAGTGGTACTGGCCCATCACTAACTTTAATATTAGTAATTTCTATTACAATTTTCAGCTAATCAAACTGCTTCAAGGACCCTGGCTGGAAGAAATCACCCACAAGCTACGAATGTCGTTTGACAACGTGGGCAAAGGCTGGTTCAACATTAACGAACGCAGCCGGGAGATATACGACATCTCAAAGATGTCGAGGTTCATGATGATGGTCAAACTGCGAATGCAAGTGAGTAAAAACCACTTTTAGTATTTTTCTGATCGCCTTTCGCTTAAATTTGTGTATGATGATAGAATTTAATTTATAAACATTAGCGGTAATTTTTTAAACAAATTCTTTTGACAAATGTACTTTTGATACTTATTTTTCTGATGACTGCAGGGTGCTTTACGCAACCTGGTGTTATCGTCAGCACAATCGTACGTCTCGTTGGTAGAAACTCCTTGCCTTTGTACGCTCGGTGTTTCGTCAGACTTTGTCTGGGGCTCGGACCTCGTAGAGACGCAGTTCAAACCTTCTGCGGCTCCGATATTCACGTTGAAACTCAACGTCAACGAGGCGGGAGCATTCTACAGCACAGATCCAGCTATGTTTGAGGTAGGTACGAAGTTGAGTTTTGATTTTCCCAGCTTTCCTTTTGTTTTAACTTAATTTTTGATGATGGTAGGTTTATTGTGGACATTTTCAAGCATAAACAAAAAAAATACAACAAACGACTAGTAATTTCTCAAATATTTTGTGACAGAATCTATTGTAGATTTTAATAAGCCGGCTAATCCAACCTAATATATTATTTGAAGATTAAATTGTTTTTAAATATAAATATAATACCAAGTCTCAATTTTAACAGTCTTCTAGTACAATACAATTTTATGCGATTCTGTAGCTCTCTTGTTCTAGTCATAAAGTAATACTTGGCCATGTAGTTGAACAAACATGAGCAAACAATGTGACCATAATTAAGTAAATCTCTAGACTAAACCATTACTTTTTTCCTACAAACCATTTCACCTGAAAAATAGTAATAGCAGCCCTTTCTGAACTTTTAATTAATTGTGACAATACGTTGGCCAAATTGCCATTACTTGCGCTCTGAAATGACCAGTAACTAGAAGGTTAAATGCAATAATTGATATAGGACATTAGTTTTTCATTTTCAATGTGTTTGAACGTTGTGTTTTATGTGGACAGAAAACCACGGGGAAGTTGTTTGACAACGCAGTGATATCTTCTCACAAGATCCCCCAGGTTGAGCCAATGCTGATGGAACATCTCAAGTATGCAGAAGATCTGTACCTCTCCTCCGTCGGACTGCAAGAAACGGTAAATAGATCATTTAACTTTCCGATCCTCGTCCCGATGAAATAAAAACTGATGTTTTAATGCTGTATGTAAATCGATTCAGCAAACCATAGCACTTTTGCATGTCCAATATAAATTTTTTATCCAATATCAAGTTCCAAAAATTGAAGGTCTATTTTTGTAAATCAAGGTTTCTATGTACTTGGTGCTGTTTTTTTAGCGACCTCAATACCAAGACTGTTAAGGTAATGATCATCTTTGAACCATTATCAAGGGGCGTTTTTTGTTGAGGTTTGTGCTATTGGCCTGGATGTGTTATTGGAATTCTACCAGAAATATTTCAATTACCGTAGGTTCTGTAGGAAAAAAAAGCCTTATCACCTCCGATGTCCCCCAAAGACCCAAACTGTGTCAAATGTCTCAGTATGTCAAATATTTTTTTAGTTTGCCAATAACTATATCCGCACTTTTAAGTCAACACTGGAATTTTGTAATTTAGGTGACTGCTCTCAAATATCTCGATTAAATCCAAATGTTCCAATGTGTTTGCTTTCGATAAATATAATTTGGCTCAACAGCCAACCTTCATAACATCTCTTTTTTACCAAGTCCTCTGGATCCATTTCTCAACAAGTATTTCATTGTTGCCGAAGGGTAATTTTTTTTTTTTTTTAAAGAGGTTGGTGGTTACAGGTGAACTGTACTGATAAAAGTTAGTGGCAGTGACCAGGATCCGAACCCACGACACTTCTGCCTTGGGCCCGAAGTCCGCGACGCTACCGACTGAGCCACCGACTCACCATTTTGCACAATTTTGTGCTAGCTGCCTATACTAATGTTCATACTGAAATCTATTTTACCAATAATTTACCTAGTTAAAAACTATAGTTTTGTTCTGTATGGTTTTTTATCTCAGGTGATGCAGCCTCTGCGGGAACGATTGCTCGTAGCAGTTCGTTCTGCTGTCGTTCCCCTCGTGGCTTACTGCCGAGAATACGATAGACATGCTGCTCTCTACTCCTTGGATGTTGATGAATACATAGAGTAAGTTAAATGGCTCGCATGTTTTTGATTAGTCAATAGTTGATTTAGCTGTAACTTATATTAAGTTTTTTTGATTATTTAAAGAAAAGAATTAAAATATATTTTTCAAATAGCAAATTAACCTCAACAAATAAGTATTATTCTAGGACACTAGTCTGTAGCCCAAAACCTTTTTACACACAATTAGGCTAAGCCTAAGGGGTCACTGCATTATCACATGGATAAAATCCATTGGTGATCGACAGGAGTTGAACCCGGGACCACTGGGACCAAAGTTTTGCGCTCTACCACTACACCAGCTTGTTCCCTATGTCCAAAACCATGTTTAAGGAAACAATCTTCTTAGACAAATCAAATTCAAAATAGTAATTTCCATTTTTCTTCCTAAAGCCCGGTTTCCCTAGGTATGGAAGCGGAGTGCAACTTTACATAGGGAATTAAATTAATTGGAGCGCACCCGCCTCTGGACAATTGGAAAATAACTTCTCGGCACTCCACTTCTACGCTATCTCCGAGTTCTCCGCTCCGCTTAGTTGAAAATCCAGCTTAACGGTTATTTTTTTCCAGGAAATACAAGGAAGAGAACCACCCAGTTCACGAGGTGAAGGAAGAGGTCGCACTGCACTTGAGACTTAAGGCCAATTTGGTAGCGACCATTCCGGCTGTCATCGTGATCGGACCGTTTATCGTCCAAGTGGACAACCTGCGTCAGTTCCTCATCAACAAGCGACAAGAGATTGCCACCAAACTTCTCAACGCCTTCGCTCAACGAATGAAAGAGTTGTTGGAGAATGTAAGTCTTTTGTACGTAGATAATCTGTTGGTTATGTATTAATGTGATGTTAGGTTAGGCTGATTTCACGGATTGATTTAGAAAGTTACAGTGATTACTTATGAGATATATTTATGGTTGGTCTGTACGATATTTTAGGACATGAAAACTAATCTAAAGTATTTTAACCTCCACTTCTGCTTATTTGATTTTCCAATTCTTTGTGTTGTGCAATCTTTCCATAATAGAACCCTAGATGACTAGCTACAGCCTAGGTTCAAATTTTTGATGGTCGCAACATAAATTAATTGTAAACTTTTTAGGATTTTTGTGAGGACAGCAGGCAAATCTGAATGGGAAAAATCTACTGTAACAGGAAACACAAAACTGTAGACAATACACAAAAAAATTAATTTTTGTGTTTCTTGGCCAGTTTTGACTCTTCCCGTAAGCCTGCTATCTACTTAAATAATATTTCAACTGTTGGCCCTTGTGCTAAATGTTACATTCATAATTCATCAACTGTTTTAGGTGATGGAAGAATACAAGACGATTTACCGTCGGCTGTGTGAGAAACCGGCAACAATAGAACTGCTGGTGGAGATGCGAGAATGGATGGAGACGATTCCTCTCACTGTACGAGGACTTGACGACACAGCAAGACGTTATCTGCTGGTGAGTTTGAGATGACCATCCACATCTATTCATCCATTCATACATATATCCATTCATCCATCAAAGGCGTTATCTGCTGGAGGGTGTGACTTGACCATCCATTCATCCATTCATCCATTCATCCATACATCCATTCATCCATTCATCCATCCATCCATCCATCCATCCATCCATCCATCCATCCACACATCCATCCATCCATCCATCCACACATCCATCCATCCATCCATCCATCCATCCATCCACACATCCATCCATCCATCCATCCATCCATCCATCCATCCATCCAAGACACTACCTCCTTGTGGGTTTGACGTGTTACCTTCACTCTACCCTTAAAAACCTTATTGTGTAGGAAAATCTCCATTATGATGTTGTTGATTGATCTAAGCAATTAATAAATTAAATACTTTATTTATGTTGATTCTGCAATGCTGGTTTGGTTCTGAGAAAAATGAGTAGCTTTTTGATGGCTCCAACTGGGCCCAGCTGTCCTTGATAATTGAAATGATCCTTGATAAGTAGGTCCTTGAGCAAACCATCATCACCTTGTGACATTTCTATAATCCTTTGTTTTTGGAGTAAGGCATGCCTTGCACATAAGTCAGGATTAGGATTATCTGTTGTAAATAGTTATAAATTAAAGTATTGATCTTCTTCATCATGATAAACACCAAATTTTCCACAGGAGTACGACCTGCTGGACTCCTTCTGGTTTGCTTTGGACCAGGAAGAATTTGAGGCCAAATGGGAGGCGCTGAGCTGGCCTAACCGATTGACGCTCAAAATAGAAGAGGTAGAACGTCAACTGGAACTGGAGACGGAGATCTTCCAGAAATTGCAGATAGAGGATGAATTTACCTTACAGGACAGAATAGAGTTGATAACCGGAACCATAACACAACTAGCTCAGCAGAGCGACTTCTCCAAGGTAAGAGGGCGCAGGGCATCGGTACCCAAGGTCTTGGGTTCAAATCCCGTTCATCACCAGTGGAATTTGTTTGTAATAATTCAGCAACCCTCTAGGCCTAGCCTTAAGTACTGTTATATCTGGATGTCTTCTAGGCTAAAGCTTAGCGTAGGCCTACTAGGATGTAGGCAATAAATGAACAAACATAATTTTAACAGTAGTGTAACTACGAGTAGTGTTAAGGATATTTAAAATGTTATCCTTCAATCCTTGCTATCCTCATTCATTCCAGGTTCATGAGATAGCCGTGGACGTCAGAAGAGCTTGGAAACTAATCAAAGAAACTCAAGAGTTCGGACAGTTGTTGAACTCGAGGCAGAAATTGTTCGGCATGCCTGTAACTCCTTTCGACCAAATTAGGAAACTCTCCAACGAGTTTGAACCTTATAAAAACTTGTGGACGACAGCCTCTGGTAAGAAGTTTGCTGTAAGATAGATTTTTTTATTCACAGCAAAGAGTAAATTTTAACCATGGTATAAAAGATTCTCGATAGGTGATATAAAATAAAATAGATTCAACTACATGTTGCCATCATAGGAAATCGAGATAATTTTTTTTTAAGAACGTTAACAGGATTTTTGTGTAGGATTTATAAACCAAGATTGTAGGTCAAGACTTGTAGTGGTGAGCAAGCCACAATTAATCCTCATTACAGCCGTTTTAACATGGAACTACAATCTCGTTCAGGATCGAACCAGCGACTCTCAGATTTGATGGCAAGCAAAATAATCATTCGGTTAGCCAGACAATTGATAACCAATATGGTGCTGTCAAGCATCCTTAATCCAACGTTTTTCTTCTTGTTACCTTTGAGTCTAGAGTCTATGTTACAAAATCTCTCTGTTTTTTATATACAAACTTTAATATTAAAACCTACTTTGCCGACAGACTGGCTGAAGTCTTACCAGATATACATGGATAATCCATTGGTGAACTTGGACGGAGAAGCGATGGAAAGGAACGTCTCTGAATCCTACAAGATCATTAGCAAATGTTATCGCACATTTGTAGAAATGCCAGGTAAGCTGCGGAATAACGGCGATCGATACATAGTTTTATTTATAAAGGATAAACTTGTTGCAAGAATAAATAGGTCAAAACATAGATGGAATTGTGGATCTGTGGAGGGAGAAATAAAAATGGGTTGGAAAGAGAAGGATAAAACAAAGTAAAAGAATTCAAATCCACCTCCCTCCCCAAAATTAAATGTTTAGGCTGCCACTGAAACATACCTTAAATGTACATACTCAGTTAAACAAATTAGGATTATTTTTGCTAAGATAACAATTTGAATAACAATTTTTGTGCAGTTGTTCAAGAAATCGCTTGTAGAGTAAAAGAAGAAATCGACCAGTTTAAGCCGTACATGCCGTTGATTTTGGCTGTGAGGAACCCGGGCATGCGACAACGACACTGGGAGGATCTTACAGAGAAAACTGGTATGTTGATATGTCATTTAAACTCATTGTCATTACACTATTAAATATTAGTGTTACTATTTAAACACAGTATGTTCTAGAAATCTGTATTATTTAGTGGACGTCGACCACAGTCCATGCTGATGACAGATAGGCCTAATATTGTTTTTTATTTATTCAATTCACGTCATATTAATGCAGTGTGTAGATAGAAAGAAAATCATTGCAGTATACTTGTTTGTAATTGTAATATGAAGAAAATTTGATATGAATCTGGCCAAAATCTATCTGACCAATAAGGGGCAGCAAGATGGTCTAGTGGTAGAATACTGGGTTTGATATTCCAGAGGTTTTGGGTTCTAATCCTGCAATTCACAAATGTGTGTTTAGCTATGTGGTACAGTATAACCTCTCATATCCGGCCTACAAGGGACCGAGCCTCTGGCCGGATAAACCAACCTGTTAAAAACTATAAATTTGTATCTAACAACAACTTGTGATTGGTTAACAGTAGTGTTTAAGTCTCTTTTGGGAGTCTAATAGCTCAAATGAGTAGTGCACCAAAAATGTACATGAACATAAAAACGCTCAAATCATGGAGACTACGTGTACAGCTGTGGGAAATATTTTTGGTATTGATTCCGGGAAGAGACCGGATAAATCAAGGACCGGAAATTCCGAGGCCGGATATTAGGGGGTCTATTGTAACACCGTAACCCTCTAGGCGTAGCCTGAAGTAATGTGTCTAATGGTTTCAGGCTAGATCATAGCATCCTAGGATTTTAAGATGGGCAGAGAATAAAGATCTTAAGAATTTAAATCTTTTCTCTGCAGGTATTAAGATTAAAATGACATCGTTGACGACGTTCAACAACTGTCTGTCGCTGGGCCTGATGGATCACACGGACGTTGCGGTAAAGTTGAGTGAAGAAGCAGCTAAGGAGTATGTGATTGAGCAGGCGTTGGACAAAATGGAGGCTGAGTGGGAATCGGTCAATTTGGACGTATCTCCGTACAAGGCCACTGGTTAGTACAACTTGGGTTGTCTGTGAATACTGTAGTCAAACTTAATGTTAGAAAGGGTATAAAAAGGCATATACATATAAAGAGAAGGGAACTTGCTAAGCTAATACAAAGAAAGAAAATAAAAGTGTTACACTTAAAATCTGCTGTATTCATGAGTCGTGACAACTTATTCAGTGCTCGATTTGCGGAAGAATGCGACTGAACGGAGTTCCGGTACCTTTCTTTCGGAAAGATAAAAATATTGGGATAAATAGGTACCAATCATATTAAATAGGTTACAGTTCCGGCACCTCAATTTTTACAAATCAAGCACTGTCTCTATTCGTTTACACTACAACTTTATTAGGTAAGTGGATGGAATGGTTGCAATAGTTTACTTTTACTTTCTCCCCCTATACCATAGTATATGGAGAAAGTATTGTTTTCGTCAAAATTTTCGAGTTTGAGTTTTGAGTGGATATATTCGTTTTGGGTCCTTCTGGACCCAAAAAAGTGGTTTTCGAAGTGATGTCTGTGTGTGTGTGTCTGTGTGTGTGTCTGTGTGTGTGTCTGTGTGTCTGGATGTGTACAGAGCTAGAGACTACACCTGTGGTCCGATTTAAATGAAATTTGGTATGTAGGTTCTTTTCCATGGTATCTCCAGGCGTTTTTTTCATTTTTTTGAAATTTTGATTTTTAATGGGGATTTTCCCATAAAAACCCATAAAAAACCGGAAAAATCTGATTTTCTCAAAAACGGCCCGAACGATTTTAATAAAAATTTAGTATGTTGTAGCCCTTTTAATTCTGAACAAAATGGTAGAAATCCCATTTCTGTAAAAATTACGGTTCAAAAGTTATGGTAAATTATGTTATTTTCCCATAAAACCCCATAAAATAACGAAAAAAGGATTGTAGACAAAAATCCGGTTTTGATTTAACATAGTATGTTATGGTCCTTACAATTTTGATAGTTTTTTTTCATTTTTTAGAAATTTTTATTTTTAATGGGGATTTTCCCATAAAACCACATAAAATAATGGAAAAATTGAATCTTCCCAAAAATGGCCCGAACAATTTTGATAAAAATTGAGTATGTTATAGTCTTTTATATTCTGAACAAAATGGTACAAATCCCATCTCTGTAAAAATTACGGTTCAAAAGTTATTGTAAATTATGTTACTTTCCCATAAAAACCCCAATAAATTACGGAAAATCAGATTTTCCCAAAATTGGCTCGAACGATTTTGATGAAATTTAGTATGTTATATCCTTTAAATTCTGAAGAAATTTGTACATATCCCATTTCCGTATATTTACTCTCACCGCTTACACATGATAAAGGTTGTTGACAAACTTATGGGAGAAAGTATGTGTCAGAATGCTGATACCGTTTATTTTATTTATGACTCGGCCACAAATGTTTAGGTTGGACTTCTGGAGGTTGACTTTGTGATATTTAACTGTGACAACATTTGATAAAAACTTTTAGGGACGGTATTTCAGAAACTACTTATCTAGTTAACAACAGGTCAACTACTTTACTAATGTAAAAGAAATTAGCACAACTTAATTTGGCATCAAACCTCTGTGGGGTAAATTGAATGAGGTCTGTTTGGGTAAAGTCCAATAACATTGTGTAGTTGTTAACACTGTCGTCTGCCGCAGGTACATCTTATCTTACTAATATTATAAATCTGAAAGTTTGTGAGTTTGTGTGTGTGTTTGTGTGTGTGTGTGTTGCTCAATCACGCATAAACTACTGGACGGATTGGGCTGAAATTTGGCATGATGATAGCTCACATTCCCGATTAACATTAAAGCATATTATTATCCCAAAAATCCTTTCGGGCTCCGCCCCAGTGGCTCTGTAGTTCCCCATGTTAACCTTATGGTTTTTCATATTTAAAAGGAATTAATGAATCTTAACAGCTGTTTCAATTAAACAAGTTGGTTCTGTTCTATGATGTTCAATAGCATAAAAGTTACAAGGACTACCAACAGGTTGCAGCACTATTATTTTTTTTTTATTTATGACAACAGCTAATTTCCAACAAAAAGGTGAGTGAGCGTAGCGAACAAACTTCAACCTGGAGGCGAGTTAGCGTAGCGAACGAGCTAACCTGAAGGCAAGTGAGCGCAGCAAACGAGCTCCAACCTAAAGGTGAGTGAGCGTAGCGAACGAACTTCAACCAGGACGTGAATGAGCCATGCGAATACTTATGATGTTAAACGGGGCAAAGCCCGCGGGTACAGCTAGTATATAATAAAGGTGACAGATAACATGGTGCAGATGTTAGACGACCTTGCTGTAGCTACTCAGTAACTATCCTTCAGTCCCTTCAAGGGAGCCTTCGAGGAGCTCAGCTTGTGTAGTTAACACTGTCGTCTGCCGCAGGTACATACATAATGAAGGTGACGGATGACATGGTGCAGATGCTAGACGACCACATTGTAGCTACTCAGCAACTATCCTTCAGTCCCTTCAAGGGAGCCTTCGAGGAGCGTCTGGCAGAGTGGGAGGACAAACTGCGTCTCACACAGCAAGTCATCGAGGAATGGTCCGAGTGCCAGAAGTAAGTTGATCACATTTACAATTTTGTTGTTTTAAAATTATGGTTGTTGTTATTACAGTAAAACATCTTTTAGCCAACCTTTCCTAGTCCAACCATGCCATTGTCTATTGATTACAATGTAAATGTTGACATCATCACAGTCCCCCGCAATCGGGGCAAAAATCTTGTTTATCCCCTAAGGTCACAGAAACATCATAATCGTTTTCTGCGATCTTTACAAAGCCCGAAATATGCTCAACAGTAATGGAGACATCATCATCGTCTTGCACAATCGTGTAAAATATTGAACGTTTTCTTTGGTCATGGGCCATGGGGATATTACTATCATCTTCCGCAATAGCGGGGAAATCTTAGGGTAATCCTGCAGTCATGGAAAACTGCACCACCGTCTTTGGCGATCATGGAAAAAATCCTAAACTAGCTGTTCCTCGGATAATCAAACATTTTTACTGTTACGACCACGGCCTTGGTCCTGTAGGTAACGGATTAGCGGGGTTGTACCGAATATTGACATTTGGGTTTTTGTAAGAGCACTGTACGTTTCCTCAAAATCAGAGATTTGATAATTAGTTTATGAAAAGGTCATTTAATGAGAAAGGTAAACATATTTGATTTTTTCATAGAACATGGATGTACCTCGAGCCGATTTTCAAAAGTGAAGACATTAAGAACCAACTGCCTCTCGAGAGTAAGAAATTCAATACAATGGAACGAGCGTGGAGGAGAACGATGAAGCTAGCCTTTGAAACACCAAAGGTAAGTTGTTGACTATCCCTGGATACCAAGTTTTTTGGATTTACAGGATCAAATGACACTTCTGGATGTTTCTTTACATTTTCATATATATTTTCATCAAGCGTATTAATCTTTGTGTTGTATTCTGGTTGATCATATCAAAATGAAACAGATTTAGAACCGTTCCACAGTTTACAATCCCGGAGAAGTAAGGTATAGAGGGCATATTCAATGGTACACTTAATTGGTGTCTAGCGCTAGTCACTGGTGTATAGGACAGTCCAACACCGTCCTCCCTCTCCATCATATACTACAACAATCATGGTGGAGGAAGACCCTGTGCGATAGGAATTTCTGCACAGTTCTTGCCGCTCCGCCTGTTCCTTGCTCATCATAATTATATTTCCAGCACAACATACTAGAGCTTAGCACGATTGTACCATAAGCAAGTTTTCGCTATACCTTACTTCACTGTGCGTAAACAAATAAATGAATAATCATCGTGATGTCTGTACGTTGTTTTCCGCAGATAATGTCTTTCTGCCCAGACAAGCGCCTCCTAGATCTACTAAAGGATAACAACAAGCTGCTGGATATGGTGTACAAAGGACTCTCAGATTACCTGGAGACCAAGAGGTCCAGCTTCCCTAGGTTTTATTTCCTCAGCGATGACGAACTTCTCGAGATATTGTCGCAAGGCCGTAACCCACTTGCTGTTCAGCCTCATCTACGCAAGTGTTTCGAGAACATCGCAAAGGTGAGGTTAGGTTTGCTTTAAGATTTTTAAGGTTTGTAAGGATTTAAATCTTACCATGGAACAAAATTTTATAACGGTGAGAATATTCTAATAGCCATCCTTCTCGGTCAGGTAGACCTTGTAAGTGAAGGAAGGATGGTGTTATGGAAGACATTCATAGTTTAGGAAGGAGAATCGACTAAGCGAAAGACAAAGCCGATGGCTTCAATGGATGCAGCAGGCCAAAACTCATCAAGATTTCTAGCCCTAATAGAGTAAGTAAGAAAAATTTGGTAAAAATAAATCCGTTAAAAGACTTCAGAATATTTTTTGCTGCTTAAAACACTACAATTTACAGTCATTTTGAGGAGCATTTCAAACTTCATTTAGACAAAAATTCCTATTAAAATATTTTGAAAATACGAATATGCCTTTATTTAGCAGATTCAAGGTCTTTGGGCAACCATTGTGTCAACATCAACAAAATACTTCTGTTCACGTTTTGTGCCTTGATGTAATGGTGACTTGAGCTAAACAAAGTCGATGTATCAAATTAATTGGTAATCTACATTGAGGCTGGGCAAACAGAAACATTTAATTGATTTTGACAAGGCCGTAGTCCGAAAATGAGCTTGACTTGCACGATGGTTTTCACTCATAGACATGAAATTCTTATAACATTTACAAAAACACTCAGTACACTCTGTACGCTTGGTGAGTTGTTAAATCATTCATTTGTTTTTCCATTTGGAAACTGGGCTGTTGTACCTAAAAAACAGAGATTGTTAGAGGATGCAGCAGAACTTAAAAACTCCATTCCCTTTAGGAATCTGTTCTTTCCCGTGCTTGTAAAACATTAAAAATATACAGTATTCAGTGAGTAATTGGATTAATATTTTTTCAGCTTCACTTTGAGCCAGATCTGAGGATCACAAAGATGTTCTCGGCAGAAGGAGAATGCGTAGACCTCATACCTGACATGTACCCGACAGGAATGGTGGAAGCTTGGCTGCTCAAAGTATGTTTACAGTTCCTAGGTGCATTTAAACATTTAAAACTGTAAAATTGAGCAAGACTTGTTATAAAAGATGTTGAGTATCCTTTAATGATAGATTTTAGATTAATTCTGTCAAAATATGTATTGAACATTTAAAGTAGACCAGAAAATCATAGTCAATGTGCAAATTTCATTATTTTGCTAACAGTTTTTACGGCTTTTCAAGGTGGAGCAAGTGATGAGGAACACCCTTTGCGCTACGCTGGAAAAGGCGCTGAACACCATAGAACACCAGGAGAGGTCTCGGTGGGTGCTGGAATGGCCTGGACAGCTCGTCATCGCCGGATGTCAAACGTACTGGTCAGCTCACGTAGAGGAGGGAATACACACGCACACGTTGGAGGCGTACTATCAGGAGATGTTGGCCCAGGTATTGACGACTGATGGGAATTAGGGAAATATTTACGAGTAATGGGTGAAGGGCAGGGTGAAAGCAATACTTATTGGTTGTAAAGTTCAGAATGCAATAAGTTTTGTTATGTCGTTCTTTGGTGGCTAAATTTATGTATGAATTGTTAAAGGATGTTATATGTTCAAGGGCCTAGGTTCTAATGCTTTTTGTATACCAGGCTTAACTGAATGGAGAAGCGTCCACTAGGGCACAAGATACTCAAAATGTGACATTATTTACAAAAATTTGATAATGTTTTAAATGAAAGCCAATCGAGTGGTAAGGAATTTTTTGTAAAGGCATAGAATTCAGCTAGAACCTTACCTTACCTCCTCGGCCATTGAAACCTCAGAAAGTTTTCGGCCTCGCCAACGATGCTTCTCCACTCTTCTCTATTCTCGGATGTAGTGTGCAACGCAGCCAAGGATATGGCAGCACCTGACTCCTCCATCGCAGTCTCGGCATGCAGAGTGGTCTGCCTTCTGGTTTGTTCTGGTCTACAACTTATTAATGGGTAATATCTCCTCCACACATGTCCAGCCCATCTCAATCTCCTGCTTTTTATCCTTACCACTACATCCCATTCACAGTTAGATGGACTTGAGTATCTCATCTATATCATGTTCACAGTTGGATGGACTCAGAGGCCTAGTGAGAGGTAAACTAACCAGGATACAACGTCAGGTGTTGTCTGCGTTGATTGTCATTGAGGTTCACGCCAGAGACGTTCTGTTCAACCTCGTCCAACTCAATGTGCAGAATGTCAACGAGTTCGACTGGATCAGCCAACTCAGGTAGGTCGTTTGTCTCTTGAAAAGTCACTAATGATGTTCATTAATTGTTCTTGGTTGCTCCCTTAGTCTTTTGTGCATGTGCAAGCTCAATAACTGTTACTACCCTTTGTTTCTAGTGTTTGTTACACTTATTGTCTCTTCTTGTTGAGTTTATTGCTTAAAGTTCAGTTTTTGTGATGAGTTAATGTTATTTGTGAAATTTTTGAGGTAATTTTCTATCACGATCGGTAAAGAAAAGGGTTTCGCACAAATTTTGGAATCTGAAATCTGATCCTGTTGTCAGGCGAGAAGGAAAGTACAGAAAGCATAACAAGACTAGTACACGATTCAAGCCAGCTGAAAATCACAAATAAAACCACAGATAGAACCATATATTAAAAAAAAAAACACACACACAAAAGCGCTTGCTGAGTACATGTACGTATTGATTGCGTTGCTAGTGTATCACACTTCTGTGCAAGAGTGGCTGATTTAATCCCCTATAAATAAACAAAATTTTGTGGCTTGGACTGTTTTCCCTTTAAAAGTGTTGTGCTTAAAGTGGATTTAATGTATAATCTGAACTGGGGTGCATTTACATCTCACCAAAAACGTAGCATCTTGTTTGTTACAATCGGAACTTCATGCATTGTAAATCCGTATTAGTCAATTTTGTAGATCCAAAGGAATTAAAAATAAATGTTAATGTAATCTATTTATTATGTTGCAACAGATATTACTGGGTGGAAGGTAACCTGAAGGTCCGTGCCGTCAACGCAGAGTTCCCTTACGGTTACGAGTACCTCGGTAACAGCGGTCGGCTCGTGATAACTCCGCTAACGGACAGATGTTACCTCACGCTGACGGGGGCGTTGCATCTCAAGTTTGGGGGAGCCCCGGCCGGCCCCGCGGGGACTGGCAAGACTGAGACGACCAAGGTAAGGTCATATTGCACACTTCAAATCAACTCATCTTGATTTTGTCCAGAAAATCTGTATAATAGCGTCACAAGGTTTACTAAGAATGTAAATTAGAAGATTAATCAATTAACTACTCTCTTCCCAAACCCTTCTTGTTTTAGAACCTTAGTGACAGACATATTTAAATAGTGTAAATAATAAGTTAAATAGCCTTAAGTGTAAAATATTTTGTGTTGCTTATGCCGCAGTGGACTCCTTCCCGTTCAATCTACGTCTGCTATCACAAGAAAGCTCCTTGAAAATCTAAATTAGTTCATTTATTGTTAGTGAGGATTTTTCAACCACAAGTTTTATTTGTGTTTCTTTGTCAACATATTTTGTTTGAAGGACCTGGCGAAGGCGTTTGCCATCCAATGCGTCGTGTTCAACTGTTCTGACCAACTGGATTTTATGGCCATGGGGAAGTTCTTCAAGGGATTGGCTAGGTAAAATGTCTCAGGTTTTTAAATGTATATTAAGAAAGTAAATAAAAATAGTATTTAGGTTTAAATAATCTGCAAATCTTCACGAGAATGTTTTTTCTAATGCATAATATAAGTCTAGTATGTATTTGAATACAAGATAACACAGCATTGACATGTATAGGGTGTCCCACGAAGGGGTTTAAACGTTTGATTTTATATTATGTGCCCATTCATGCACCGAACTTTATTAAACTTTACACAGTTTACAAAGTAGGTTCTAAAAATATTCTGGAAAAATTTCAACTCCCTAACCTTAGTAGAAACAAAATGGCGGCTTATTGAAAAATTTAATAATTTGCTTCCTATAAAAACTACTTTCACGATTAATTATCTGATTTGTTTACTACGTTGCGGTTCTAACGCTCATTGTTGAAGAACAGCTATTTGATTGTAAAATGAGTTTTAAATGAACAGGTCTTGCCCCATTTGACGGTACCAAAAATGAATCAAGCATTCTTTCAACAAGATGGTGCACCACCTCATTTCGCAAATCCTGTTGAAGCAATTACTAAATGGCAACCTTCATGGCCGTTGGATTGATCGTGGAAATGATTTTTTAGATTGGCCACCCCGATCACCTGATTTAACTGTTTGCGACATCTTTTTATGGGATTTCTTGAAGGAACAAGTTTATACCCACAGCTTCAATAATGATAAGGAACTAAAACGATCAATAGGTGAGAAACTTCCTCGAATATCGCAGAGTTTCTTTCTAAGAGCTTACGAATCATTTGTTACGTGCTGTGGATGGGTTACAGTTTGAATAATTTTGGACATTAAGGTTTTCCATTAAGGCTATGTTCTAGTTTTTTTTATTTATGTCATATTGCCCTTGAAAGTAACAATAAAAATTTTTGATAAAACCAAAAATACCTTCTTTAATCTTTTTCAAGCATCGTTTTTCAATATGCCGCCATTTTGTTTCTACTAAGGTTAGGGAGTTGAAATTTTTCCAGAATATTTTTATATCCTACTTCTTAAACTGTGTAAAGTTTAAAAAAATTCGATGCATGAATGGGCACGTAATATAAAATCAAACGTTTAAACCCCTTCGTGGGACACCCCGTATACCACTTTTGTTAACTATGGGTATACCATTGACAATTTATTGTCTTTGAGAGTATGTACTAACCCACCATCAAGATAAAACTTAAATACCTTGAAAATAAATAAATTGCAACATGAGAACTGTTTTGTATTTTTTAGGTCAGTAATTCAACTTTTCCCCTAGCATGCATGACACAAAAAATTACCATTGGAACTTTTTAATGTAATCGTTTTTTGTTTGTTTTGTAGTTCAGGAGCGTGGGCGTGTTTCGACGAGTTCAACAGGATTGACATAGAAGTGTTGTCGGTCGTCGCGCAACAGATCACAACCATACAGAAGGCACAACAAGCAAGAGCAGAGCGGTATGTTAAAAATCTAAAAGAATATATACTCACAAAATTACTCATTTATTTACCCTATATTCATGAACAATTTGACTTTTTCCATTACATTAATTGCACAAGTTGTCAACGCTCTATATCAGGGCTAATTGACTCTAAATAAGAAGAATAATAGTATCGGCAAACATTTAAAAAAGTTAACATGAGTTTGATTGATATGAGCCAAAATGTTTTTTCAGCTGAACTAAGTGGTCTTAGTGCTGAAGAATTAAATAAATTGAATCGAACAGAATGGGCAAACATTTCAAATTTTAGCTGACATAATTTTAGCAACTAATCTAATCTGTACTTAGAAAACTTTAAAACACTTTTGGGAACTTTTTCCTGTTTAACAGGTTCATGTTTGAAGGCGCTGAGGTGGCTTTGAAGCCATCTTGTGCGGTTTTCATCACGATGAACCCCGGTTACGCCGGACGTACCGAGCTTCCTGATAACCTGAAGGCGTTGTTCCGCCCAGTCGCTATGATGGTGCCAAACTACGCTCTGATCGCCGAAATCTCACTCTTCTCCTTCGGCTTTGGCAATGCTAAAGAACTCGCCAACAAGATCACAACTACGTTCAAACTGAGCTCTGAACAACTTAGTAGTCAAGTGAGGTTCCCTTGTTCAAATCTTTATTTTTGTAATATAATTTATCATACTATTAATGTTTAATTGGATGATTGTCTGGACTAAAAGTGTTTAATATTCATCATATCCACATCCACATAAAATAATAAGGATTTGGACTGATTTCTATTAAAATAATTTAATTATCATGTGAAATGTCACTAGTAGAGACACTAAAGAATAACAGGAATGGCCCGTGAGGTGATACTGGTAAATCCGAACCAAAAACTTGACAAAAGAGGCTTGACCTCAAACTTAAGTACTTTTTTTATAAGATTGTTGGTCCAACCCTGAGAAAAGTCAACATCTGTTCAATTATTTTACACAGTGATAACCGGTCCTTAATAATTGGGCTTTTACTAAATGATCTTGGCTAGAGGAACAGCTGATTTTTGATAGTAATAAAGCTATCATCATTCATTCAATACCCAAAAACGGAAAGCTTAAAACCTTAGCCTTAACTAAAATAATCAATTAAACCGACAACTATGTAATATCACTTCAACCATGCAAAATACCTTTCATTCAATTATTTTGCGTAAACTGTTTTCAGGACCATTACGATTTTGGTATGCGAGCAGTGAAGACGGTGATTTCTGTTGCGGGTAACCTGAAAAGAGAAAACCCGACAATGGATGATCGGCAAATAGTGTTACGAGCTCTCCGTGATGTCAATGTTCCCAAGTTCCTTAGGGACGATCTTAAACTCTTTAACGGTACGCTGTTTTATTAATTTTCAGTAATTATTTAACTTTACTCTTATATTTATGTAAAGCTCTCATGGCTGTAGATTGTGGTGTGGAGGGGTGAAGGAAAGACTCCCAACAACACAAAGAGGGGGGGGGGACTCCCAACCACTAGGGGTGTTATTTATTTATTTATTTATTTATTTAGTTACATGTCATTACATTATAATAACAGGACATATTGTCAATGGTTAAATAAAGACTTAAAACTAATAGATAAAACTAATACATCTGTATTTACATAAAACAACTGAATCTTCCCAAAATACAACATTGTTACATGACAAAAAAATTGAGCCAGCAGGAGTGTGAAGGTTTACTTATACCTAATTCCAGCAGTCCTTAAAATAATCTGCCAATGAAAAAAAAGATTTAGTCTTGAGCCATTCTTTTAAATAAAGTCTAAACTTATAGGGATTTTCTAGAGTAATTAAACTTGTTGATAAGTTATTTAAGATTTTTGGACCAATGTATTGTGGTGATGACTCGAATATTTGTAAATTATGAGCTACAGGTTTGATAATATTCTTTTTTCTTGTATTGTAATTATGTTGAGTTTGGGTCTCCATAAAAGTAGAGAGGTTTCTATGGACCCAGCATGCTATTTCCAAAATATAGTGATCGTAAAAAGTAAGAACTTTAAAGTTTTGAAACAGTTTTTTACTAGGGGTCTAGAGGGAACTTTGCCAATAATTCGTATTACTTTTTTTTTGTAATTGAAAAATTTTTTTTGAATGAGGAGAGTTACCCCAGATCAAGATACCATATGTCATTAATGATGAGAAATATGCATGATATATTATTAGCTGGGTTTGTAGATTCGTTACTTGTGAGATTATTCTTATTGAGAAAATGCAAGGGTCTAATTTTTTACTTCAATTTTCAATTTGAGATGCCCAGTTAAGATTTTTATTCAAAATTAATCCAAGGAATTTTACATTTTGTTGTGGAGATAATTGATGATTTGAAAGGATAATGTGATTTGAATTAAATTAAGTTAAATTAATCCAACCGCAATTAATTAATTGTTAAAATAACTACAAAGTAACAGAAGCACATTGTTAGAGGAAGAGTTCTTGTGTGTTAAGTGTATACCAAGCTCGCCACTCTAATTGGTACAATCTATACCATTGAGGTCAACCACAGTAAGGTACAGAGGAATCTTGTGCATGGGACAACTGTGAACTTTCAGCTCTAGTTTTGTGCTGGATTATATTTGTAACCTGAATGGAAAAGCACTGTGCGGAAATTTCTATCGCACAGGGCACAGGGTCTTCCTGCAAGCGTTGTAATACATGATGGCGATGGGGGTTGTTGAACTTTGCCCTAGACACCAGCAACTAGTGCTAGACACCACTTAAGTGTACACTGAATGTTTTCTCTGTACAGTTACTTAGCTTGGGTTCCAAGGCTATCCTGATTAATGTTTGTTTCTCTTTCAAATAAAATGTATCTTAATTACACCAATGTAACTTAAAGTAATAGCCTTTTGTAGGCCAACACAACAAATTAATGCTCTACAACATTCCATTCTACTTACAAACTTTGTCTTGCTCTTTATAATATGAAACCCTTAATTAGTTTGTTCTCTTATACATTGTATGCTTCAGGCTTTTATATGGATGAATTCTATTCATATGTAAGTGGCTTTCAATCCACAATCTATTTATTATTCTTATGTATTGTTAGGTATTGTCAGTGATTTGTTCCCCCGAATGGTGGAGCAGCCGGTAGACTACGGTGAGCTGGAAAAATCTATCCGAGCCGTTACAGTTCAGTTCGGACTGGAGGATGTAGATGGTAATATATTTTTTCTTTTTCTTTATAATTAGCAAGATTTTACACTTTCCGGTTCCGTTTGGATTACAATATGTTATATCAATATATTTTAACGTAATAGCTATTGTACTGTTTACAACCATTTAACTTTAACCATGGATAAAACATACTCCTAGTAGATTTCTCATCTTTATGGATCAGCTGAAGACAATTTTATTGTTAGTTCCGTCCGTTGCACTATGTAGGGGTCGTGTTTTGTTTACAATATCATTCTTGTCATTTCAGTAATTTAAAACCTCGTTTAGCCAAATAAAACTATCTAATCATAAACAATTACTCGTCGCCTAGTTATACAGGGTGTCCCGGAACTCTCTACCAATATTTTAGGGCATTGATCCTGGGTAAGAAACGTACCTAAATATCATATTTAAATTGTCCGGAAGTCCTTAGTTACTCACACAGCCGCCATTTTGTTTTTTTCAGTTATTAATTTTTTCTAAAGAACGGTTAAACATACGAAACGGAAACTTTGCACGAACATTCATGACAACTAGACAAAGCTATAAAAAAATTATTAAGATTTTTCAAATTCATAAAACAAAATGGCAGTCATTTAAAATTTTTATTCTTAAATAGCTCAAAACCCATTGATTTTACAAAAATTTTAAATGGCCACCATTTTGTTTTATGAATTTGAAAAATCGTGATAATTTTTTGGTAGCTTTGTCTAGTTGTCATAAATGTTTGTGCAAAGTTTCCATTTCGTAGGTTTAACTATTCTTTAGAAAAAAATTAATAACTGAAAAAAACAAAATGGCGGCTGTGTGAGTAACTAAGGACTTCTGGACAGTTTAAATATGCTATTTAGTTATGTTTCTTACCCAGGAGCAATGCCCTAAAATATTGGTAGAGAGTTCCGGGACACCCTGTATAACCTAAGTAAATCACAAATCATGAAATTAACCTCTTTTCATTATTTATGAACTAAAGTTTCTTTACTACATCACTAAAAGCAGTCTATTGTATTAACAATTATGTACTATTTTATTGCAGATTATGTGAGGAAGGTTATACAACTATTTGAGACGACTGTGGTGAGACACGGACTCATGTTAGTTGGTCCTACAGGCTCCGGAAAAACTAAGGTACAAACTACATTGTAAATTATTACCATTTATTTTACGTTTAACCCATTTAGTCAACACAGTATGATGGTGGGGTTTTAAAATGGAATTATAATTGGATTGTTCATGTTGGATAATAATTGATAAGGCAATTGTATTCAGATATAAAAAAGTCAATGCAAATATGTTGCTACTTAAAATATGAAATTGATGTGATAAAATATGTAATTACTGTAATGATATTTTTATGTATTAGATTAGGGTTTTTTGTTATTGTTGCCTAGTTCTTGAGTAGGTAAGATGTTTGTGTTGCCCTATGCTTGTTTCATAAGCTTGTGTGTCATATTCTTAAGTTATCTATACATTACTAACACTATAGAATATATATTTACAAAAATTTCACACATGCGCTGTAGTATCGCAATCAGGTTGATCGAACAACATGACGACAGACATAATATGAAACAGAAGAAGAAAGACCGAGGTTTTGTGTTCGTTGTCGTATTGTTCAATTGATTCGGCCACAATATTTTTTTTCTAAATATACTATTGACTATTGTTAGTAACGAGAAGATAACTTTAGAAGAACTCTGGCATGCCACAATGCATAGGATGGCACAAAAATGTTACCTACTCAAAAATGTAGGTTACAATAACAGTAATTTAATATAATTCAAGTTTTTGAACCTGCCATAGCAAAAAACCTATTTTCTTTAAAATTCATTGGCTGAACACAGGAAGGCTATTGTATAGACCAGCTTGCTCCCTAAATAAACTAGATTGAGATAGCAAGCCCTACAGAAAAAAACAAATTATAATAAAACTACGACATTTTACTTCACCCACGCCATTTCTAACAATTCACATTTTGTCTTACAGTGCTATGAGATACTAAAGGATGCATTGACTGCGCTGAAGGGGCAGCCTTCACCTACTGGGTCACCCTTCGAGTCTGTTCACACTTCGGTTCTCAACCCTAAGTCCATCACCATGGGACAGTTGTATGGAGAGTTCGACGCACTCACTCATGAGTGGTATGTTGCGTTAATTAATTATTTTAGTTGAGTATTGAAAAGAAAACTACCAAAAATTTGTCTTAAATCATAAGTTATTATTGTTTGTTTATTTTATTCTGTCACAAGGAATTTGTTGTTACACAGCAGTAAAAACAGCTGATTTCAATTTCAATTTATGAACTGTAGAGCTGAAATATACTTATTTTAATACCTAGGGGTATAATATCAGCTGGGGGCAAGGATATCAGCTGTTTATTTTTGACATCAACACTCATTTAATGATTTTGCTGATGAAAATAGTCTCAATAAGTTAATGTATTTTATTTGACCTAAGACTGATTTTCAAACTAGCCTTTTCAACTCAGGTCTTAGAATTAAAAAGATTCACTTTACAGCGTTGTTTTTTTTTTTTTTTTTACTTTCCAACACTAGTAAAAGACTAATGAGGTTCAAGAATAGAGAGAAAAGAAGTAAAATTTTGTTTCTTTGAATGTCAACTTATCAGCTGTGAGCTATTTAATTGTTAATGAGTGGTTGGTAGAATGAGTTATTGTATCACTATCAGTGGCAACTATCAGAGGTTGTAAACATAAACCTTCACATCATAGGACGCTAGTTCTAGTCCAGAACCGTTCATACATTACTTCAGACTAGGCCTAGAGGGTTGCGACCTTATCACATTGATAAAATCCATTGGTGATTGGCGGGATTTTAACCTGAGACTTCAGTGACCATACTCTACCGTCAGATCAACTCGCTTCCAGTGATGAAAAATTACTATTCAAAATGTCTGATTTTTCCAGGACCGATGGTATTCTGCCGTCCTTGGTCCGGGTGGGCGTGGCGTGTCCGGACCAAGACAAATTCTGGTACGTGTTTGACGGCCCCGTGGACGCTGTGTGGATCGAGAACATGAACACTGTATTGGACGACAACAAGAAGCTTTGTTTGACCAGCGGAGAGATCATCAAACTCACCGATAACCAAACTATGATGTTTGAGGTTAGAAATCTTACATCTATAGTAGTGTTTTAGGGAATTAATTTTACGTTAGTAGAATCACGCTGTTCTCTGTTTGGTATTTTGGCTTTGGGTGTATTGCTAGGCTAGGGGTTAGGGTGTCGAACTTCTGTTCGAGTGGAATGGGTTCAAAACCAGTCATATCTACAAAAATATTTAAAAGTTTGGACTTTTTCCTTTAATAGAGTTTGTGATTTGAAAAAAAAAAACTTTATAAAAAATGCCTATGCCATGGACACTGAAAAAGGAGTCTATATTGTAAAGGGTGGTGTGCTAGACAAGCTAAGTTGTTGAACCTTGCATGCAAGGGTGATTCTGGAGGTAATTATGTGTACTTAGAGTATTTTGCACTTTAAAAGTTTTGTAGTCGTTTTTTGCATATCACACCTATGGCTTTGACTGAAATTGCCACACGTTCTCTACTACTTTTGAATCATTATTGCCCAAATCGTTACGGTTTTAATCTTAGAAATAAAAACAGTGGTTAATCAAACTAGGATGTAGCATGTAGAGGATTATATAGGCTAGATTTGTTGTGTTGGGTGTACACATTTTCTCTAGGCTTGTCTGTCACATGATGGGTTTTAACTTTCTCCGTACGGGAATGTTATATATAGGAGGAGAAAGTAAGTTTTGATTTTGAATTATAAAATTATTTTATTTTGAACTCTGGGTGGAAATGTAGTTTTGGACCCCCAAACCCAATGTGAGGATTTTGTTTGAAGTGATGTGTGTATGTGTGGTTATGTGACAGATTGCACTTTTTGTTTGGTTTTGATGAAATTTGTCATATGGGTACCAACCCATAGTATCTCATAGCTTTTTTATTTGTTTGATATTTTGATTTTTACTGGTGGTTTTCTACATAAGTTAGGAAAGTATGTGTCAGTGAGCTGTTCCCGATTACATAACCTATTTGCGCCTCAGACCCCATTGAACTTTAAGTGCTTTACTAAGGCAAAAGTCTGTCCTTTAACATTCAAACGACTACATGACAATATCGCACTGTAGGTAGCAGATCTAGCCGTTGCGTCGCCAGCCACTGTCAGCCGCTGCGGGATGGTGTACCTCGAGCCCTCCGTCCTCGGACTTCAACCCTTCTTCAATTGTTGGCTTCAACGGCTGCCCAAGGTAATAAGTCCTATAACAATTTTATTTACATTTGTGTCCTAAAGTTATTTGAAAATGGGAAGAAAATGTCTAAGTTAAATTTTGTGTATTTTCAGTTTCAAGAATTAATTTTGTAGCCTTAAGATTTCCAAGTTCTTGAAGTGTGATACGGAGCTCAATGTAGGCCTACATTTCGCTGCTTGTCATCAGAAGCGAAATGCCAGCAAGTGGTGGAATGAATATCGGACTTTTAATCGCACTTTGAGAAAGGTTAAAGTTTTACTATACTGATGCATATTTCAAATTCCATGAGACTATTAAATTTAAATGCTTACTCATAACAAAATGTTGGTCTCATGCAACAATTTGTCATCACTGTTTTGAATGAATATGTCGATAAAGATTGGTTGAAAATATTTTATAGCGTGGCATCTGAATCACTATGATATGTACAGTTGGTTAAATTACCCCCGAGTGATTCTATTGTAGTAGTTGAACTATCATGGTTTTTAAGCTCTTGGTGGATTCATTTTCAATTTACCACTAAGCATGTTCAACCCTCTTCGACACGGACGTTGTGAGAAGATTTAGCTGTAGAAAGTAAAATATTTAAAACATATTTTATATGTTTACCAGTTAGGAGAGTCGCTAGAACCGTTGTATCGAGAGCTGTTTTCTCTGTATCTTCTGCCTGCACTCCGCTTTCTGCGTAGTCACATGGTTGAGATGGTGCCTTCCGTTGACTCTGCGCTTGTTCAATCCTGTCTCCGTCTCCTCGACTGTTTCATGCTTCCTCTGACCTGTCCTGGCGGAAAACCTCCTCCGTCCCCTGCCTTTCTCAACCTACTGCGTGAGTGACATTGATTTGTCGATTCTGAAGTAGATGTTCCATCTATATGGAACAGATGTCACCAATTTTTATGAAAAAAGAAAATAATTGAATGAGCCAATCACAGAGTATGTTGCCGTCTAAAATAATATTTTTCCTACATCTTTGCTGTTTCGATAGTTTATGTTACATAAAAGATGGTAGACTTGGTTAAAAGGTTGGCGTATTTGATGTAAAACGGTAATTTCTTTCAGTACTTTGTTGGTGGCCGAATTCAACTGCTTCCATTTTCATTCAAAAACTGGCGGAAACTTTATAGGGAATTTCTAGTTCAATCAATTGTCCAAGGTTTCACGTTGTCTACTTGGATTTGAACAGAACTTAATTGTATTGAATTTGAATAGAATAAATATGTACTACTTTAGCCATATCAAGCTAATCCAAAATATTTTACTTCTAACTACTCATTTTCACTATCACTTAAACAAAATCAATCTCACCTTCATAAAAAACTAAAATATTCCCTATAAAAAAACAAAGCCGTACGCATTTTAACCTAACCTACCCAATCAAACCTAACCTCAATCAATCCAAATTAACCTTGATGATGTTAAACCAAGCCAACCTACCCTTTATCAATCTATGATGATCAAACAAACCGAAACCTAATTCTATTTTAACTCAATCCTACTTAACCTAACATAATTATATGTTGTTGTATGCAGCGGAGCTGGTATCAGCTTGGGTTGTGTATGCCGTTATCTGGAGTGTCGGAGCCACTTGCGACCACTCGTCTCGGGAACTCTTCTCCTCTTGGATGCGGAAAACAATGAAGGAAGATATTCAGATGAAGCCGCTGTTTCCCGGAGAAAATCTAGTTTACGATTACAGGTGAGTTGAACGTACTCTCTAATTATTTTTTCCTTTAAACTTACTTGTTTTACATCAGGAAAAAAGGTGGGAAACACTGTTCCAAATTATAAATAGATAAAGTAAACACAGGGATTTTGAATTATAGAGTAAGGAGAATAGCAGCTAGCTTACCTTGTACAGGTGAACGTAAAACCACTAACTATTGGATACTGAAGTAGACATCCCATATCTATGCGGACCAGCTGTCACCAATTTTTCACAAAAAAGAACTTAGTTGTGTGAGCCAGTCACAGAATGCGTTAGTGTCTAAAATTCTATTTCGTACCTTATACATTGTCGCTGAAATAGTTGATGGGTCTTGACAGTTGCTATAGCTCACAATAAGTCGCTCCATTGGTTTGGAATTGGTCAAATATTTCTTTTGTTCAACAGAAATTAGTAATTTAGATCAGTGCAATATGTTGGTGGTTCACATCAACTACGACGATTTTGAGCAAAAAACAGGCAACAACTTTAACATGGTTTTGGAATGTCTGGTGTTTTCAATAGTCTAAGGTAACACAGAGGAGACACTGCACACAATATTTCGTACCATAGGGAGAACACTATCTCTACACTTGAAAAGTCACCAGGGGACGAAATATGTGTTCTGTGTCTCTACTGTAAGTTCTATGACCTACCTATACTACTCAAAGTACGCCAGAAACTATCCTCTTCTATAATTCAAAATCCTGGCCTAGAGCCTTTCCATGAACAAAACTAATGTATAAAACTTTATGTTGGTAAAGTGTATCTCTAGCTCTTCGTATGTGGAGTTTTCAATGTTAACCACATATGTGTTAGGTTACATGACGGTGGTTTCACTGGAGGCACGGACACTGGAGAACCATCTAGTCCACGCTGGATACATTGGATGGATGGATTAGAAACCTATGTTATAACTGCAGACATGAAGTATTCAGGTTTGTGTTAGAGATTTTTATTAATTTTTTTGTCCTAGGACGCTAGGTACGAGCCCGGGATTGTTTTTCACATTACTTCAGGCTAGACCTAGGGGTTGCGGCACTATCACTTAAATAAAATCCATTGGTGATTTGGCAGGATTTGAACCCGGGACCTCGGGCCCCGAAGTCCCGCGCTCTATCCACAAGACCAGCTCGCTCCCTCACTTTGCAATAATAGTCAGGATCTTTCCTTAGGTTTTCAGTTGAAATAATACAAATACAATAATTTTTGTCACTTATAACTCTTCCTCATCCAGTAAGTTTCAGTCAGTGTTCAATCAATGAATTTCTTTATTGAGATTACTTTAAGAAATACAATAGTGTCATATACATAGATTATAATTTGAATTTTCATCTTGCTTGACAATATTGATAGAAGAATTCCTTTAGTGAGTAGAATGGTTGTTACATTAGACAGTCTTTGAGATTGCTCTTCAGGTCTTGATTTCAAGATCTTCTAGTGTTTGGGCAGGCTATTGAAGACCTTTCGTCCCATAACTAGTAACCTGCATTTATGGCCCAAAAACTCAACTAGAATTACAAAAGATAAGCCAGTAAAATTAAATTTTATACATAGCAAGTGTATTAAATCAATCATAGCAAAGATTACACATCTACCTATAATGTTGCAGACATAGAAGTACCGACAATAGACAATGTGCGTAACGCCCACCTGATGGGAACGCTGCTGTCCAACGAAGCCAACGTGTTGTGTATCGGTCCAACAGGAACAGGCAAGACTGTTACTGTTATGTCCAAACTGAGCCGCAACATGCCCAAACAGTTTCTCTCCGACTTCATCAACTTTTCAGCACGGACATCGGCCAACCAGACGCAAGTATGTAGAGGCAAACATTTTTTCACACTCTGGAACCGTTTTACATATTACTTCAGGCTAGGCCTAGAGCGTTGTAGTATTATTACTTAAGAAAAATCCATTGGTGATTGCCGGATTTGAACCTGTTACCTTTGGGACCGAAGTCCTCCGTTTTGCCACAAAACCAGGTAGGGTCTAACATTAAATTATTAAACTAAAGGAACGATATTAATTTGAATTTTTCACCTAATCTTTAAACAAGTTTTAGGAAAGCTAACGTTTTCTATTTACTAACAAAATATATACATAGATGAAAATTGAAGAGAATAAAAAGTCGTAAGGATTAAGCGTTGCAGGGATAGACGAGATTGGATTTTTAGTTCGAAACGAGACGATATTTTTTATTTCTCATAAAATTTTGAGACGAGATCGAGATGGGATTTCCCTTCTCATACAAAACAGGAAATGCACGTTTGACATTTTTACCTGATTTTGTAACATTGTTAGATGACTGTTTAAATACAAAAATAATAATAATAGGCAAGAATATTTAAAATCTTTAATTAAAAAACATCAGCATACAAAAATTTATATTAATCACGCCTAACTTATTAAAAATGCTTACGATTAGGAAACATGGTGGTATCAGTTAGGATAGAGTTAAACTTATCCTAAAATAAAATAAATCATAAAATAAAAGCAATATTAATTTGTATAAAATAGTTACTTGTTTTGGGTTTGTTTATAGTAGTAAAACATGCCTCACACTGCTTACACTTAACAAAACTGCTTACACTAACACGGTGGTACTGCTAAATCTCAATGTATTTTTCTATCAAACTTTGTTGATGACCTTCAAATGAAGTGATTACTTTTCAATCCTAGTACGCCAGAACCTACTTCAAACTAACAGCTGAAATTATGTCCACTTCAGTAATCAAGGATATTTATGCGGGTATTGAAACCATTTAACAAATAAAAAATTAAATTGGAGGGTAAAAACCTTGTTTGATTATTTCAGGATCTGATAGACTCCAAGCTAGACCGGCGCAGGAAAGGAGTGTTTGGTCCTCCGGTGCTCAAACGGTTGGTTCTGTTCATTGACGACCTCAACATGCCGGCGCTAGAGACATACGGCGCTCAACCACCCATAGAACTTATACGCCAGAGGATGGACTTTAGAGGTACCTAGTTGGAATTCGCTTAATATACTCAGAAATCAAGTTTATCTATATATTCTGATTACCATCTCCAACGAGGAGGGTCGTAAGCAAATTGAACATTTTTGTAGGGTTCAAAAACTTGTCTCTGTATAACAAAACAATGCAGTACTATTTTACCTTTTCAAAGATTACTTTGTATCTAAAATACCCCCGTCGCAGCAAACCTGCATACTAAGCGAATTTCCATTTACCCGGCTTGATTTCTTCTAAAATATTCCCTATAAATTTTCAGATTTATTTCCTATTTAAATAACATTAATTTTAGTGAGTAGTTAGGTTTGCTGCTATGGGGAAGATGTTGAGGTGTGTTTTTTTAATTGAAATATTGATAGCTTAGTATGAAATAAACCAAATTGCCAAATTTGATTAAAATATAAAATATATCCATAAACAAGCAAACTAAAACAGTTTATTTATTCTCCATAAGAATAACATGGGAATTTTAAATTTACAATTTTTTAAATTTTCTCCGTAGGCCTAGTCAATGAACATTCAAAAACACTTCAATATACTAAATTATTTGTTTTTTTAGCGAATTTCCCATATAGGGAATAAGCTATTACCGTAGTACTCACGGTAAGACCTGGTCCCGGGACCGATTTTTTTTTTCGTTTTGAGGTCCCTAGAGGTCAAAAACACCATCCGTTCAAATTCATATATATATATATATTTATATATATATATATATATATAAACTTACACTAGGCTGTTAAGGGGACAACATAATAAGAGAACAGTTGACTGTTCTCTCAACAGCGTCTGGTATAGTAAAACTTGTCAGTATTGCCAACCTTCATAGAACAACCACCAAATGAGAGGGAAAATAGATAATAAGAGGACAGCAAAAGGTCCCTTTAACATCTTCCCACATGGCATGGCTGTTGAGAGGACACTTAACCGTCCTCTTATTCTTATGTCCTCTTAACAGCCTTGTGTAAGCTTAAAGTGTCCTCTCATCAGCTCCATGTATAGTAAGCCTGATATTAACATTAAATTTAGTTTCCTTTTCTTGATTATGAGTTTAATTACGTAAAAGGGTAGAAAAAATGTTACATTAAGATATGGTCCAATATTAATATTTATCACTGCCTATACATACATATGAAAATGTTCTATACTACTGTCCAGCCCCATAAATATTTCCAATCCCCATCCATCCAATATATATTCTCAAAATCAAACTCTTTTCGCATCACTCACCCGCGTACCCATATAAAATAATGTTAATTTTTTTTAGATTGATCAAAAGTTGATACCCACGTAGTGTGCCTGAATTTTAACCGTTTTGCCGCATCTCTTACCGTTGTTAAGATATAAGCATTTCTAAAACAATAAAGCAATGCCGCTCCGGCAGCGCCTGGAGTTTAACCTTTGCACCTATTCTAGAGTCAACGTTGACATTATAATACAGTGCATTGACATACAAATGAAAATGTTTAATATATTTAACAAATGGTACCCATATAAAATAATCTAAACTAGGTAGCTTTCGCAGAGGCATCCACAAAATTGAGCGGAGTCATCAGGGTTCCATATAATATATTGTTATTGACCTTCACCATCGAGCTTCATAATTATTTTTACCTACAATTTTAAGTGAAGAGAACATTTGTGTAAAGATAAATATTGGTGTAATTAGATTAGCTACACGTTGATTCGTAAAAAAGGGGAGTAAAAAACACGGAGATGTAATTTTAGGCATTTTCGGAGACCTGCATTTACATTTTAAGTTTAAACCCTCAGGGTTAGTCATCAACTTATTCTAAAACAGGGTGGTACAGATGTAACTTAGAAATCAACCCTTTACAGTTTCAAATCCTACCATTTTGGCTACTAATAACTGCATAAGAGGGCTTTATGTGATGGTTAGAGTATAAGTGAAACCAAGAAATATATTATCGTTTCAAAAGATATATTAACATTCACATTTGCATTTATTCAAGCGTTTAAACCATAACCTAAGTGTTACACGTTAATAATTTGTATAATCAATCGGAAGGTGATCGAAGACGAAGATTAAGCCGTCGTGTTTTGGCTAAAATGTCTGTGCTTCCTAGTCGTCCTTGTCACAGAAAACATACTACTATAACCATTATAGTAGTACTAGGTAAAACCCGTCGAAATCGACGGTTGCTTTAAAGGCTTACGACAATTCTTCTAACTGCGAAAAAAAGAGCGAAATTACAAAAATGTGCGCATTTAGCATTGTTTAATGAATACGGTAATAAATAGGTGTAAAAACAATAATGACTATTATGAGTTGGTTACAAAATATGGTTGATCATTCAATGAATAACATATTTCTTATATCGTCCGTCATAGGAGTTATTGTTCCTATGTTAACTGGTTTATCTTCTTTTTGATGAATATAATATAAAGAATGCTTTTGGAAGAACCTTTAAATAGCATTAAAACCGTATTGGTGGATCTTTTGTGGCACACACTTCTGCGATTTCATCAGTGTTATGCAGATTAAATCTGTGTGTGGGGTTTTTTTTTTTTTTTAGAAAATATATGTTTGTTGAGATGGCACGTTCTTATTTCAAAGGGAGGTCCACCCTAAAGCTGTGAAAGTTTTATTTTTCCTTCGTCACGTCGGTCATCATACCGTACTTCTGTGCCAATGAATAACCCTCTAAATTTAGCAATTTTAGCATAACATTGATTCCATGACATGCGGATGTCAGTTGTCTCAGCCTTATCAATTACATAAAGTGCTCAATATAATATATCCTCGGAATTTTAGGTGTAGTGGAATATACTTGTAGTGATGCTGTCTTTTATTCTCGAAATGAGGGACCTCGTTCTTATGGCCATGCGGCTTCATTGGCAACAAATAATGCAAATGACAAAGCAGTGCTGCATTTTCTAAAAGCAAATACTGTAAATTGTTACGTAAATAGTGACGTTTACATGCATTGTTGTTAATCAACGTATCTTAGAAAGGATGAGGATATCTAGCTCAAAAGGAACACGACCTTTCTGTCATGACAGTAACTGCTTAAATGGTAATTACTCTTTGTGAAATTTGTTTTACATTCGAAGTGTAGTGTTATTTTCACAAATCTCACTTAAGGCCAACCAAGTGGGCCCCGGTCCGTAATAGGCCACTGCAAAACATCTTTCAAGATATAGGTACTATTTTAATTTTAGGCAAGGTTTCTGTGTTTGGATATTATTAGACACGATAATAGCACAATGAACTTCTTCTGCAGATCTTTATCATCTTTTGGTTAAGAGAAATATAAATCGAATTAATAAGTGTCACAATCCAAGCGCATTAAAATGGCTCTGGCCTGAACTTTTTTGTAGTATCGAGTTTGGACATTTTGTTTATGTTACTATCTGGGTAAGTTACCGGTGCATTTTGAGATATTTCTTTTAGAGATAAATTAAATGGGTTTTGTTGCTGAGTAGCGCTAGTAAACATGTACAACCCTATTCGTTAGTTTAATAACATTCAAAGGATCTATTCTGTTTTCACTAAGCTGAATGAATACATCGAAGTAACACCTCTAAAAAGTCTGCAATAAATTGCAATTTTGCAGATTAATGACTTTCTAAATCATACACACATGTCTTTATAAAAATTATTAAAATATTAATCCAGTTGCTGTAAACCACTATTAATTTAAACAAAATATGAACACGGCTCATATGGGCAACGTGAACTTCTGCACTTGTATTATTTTGTATTGTATTACACAATCGAAATCTTTTTTAATAATTGAAAACATGTATGGAAATGATCTCATGAACCTATCTGTCTTGAATAATATGAATAAATATCGGCAAAAGTAGTCAAAAAGGCAGACACCAACCCGTACAATAGATATAATATAATTCGATAAGAAATAATTTTAAGAGTTTCTGTAATATTAAGATTTTCCAGTGATTTTGTAATTGAACGTTATTTTGCAAAACATGAGATGATGCAGAACAAAATAAATTTTGAAATCAGAAAATTACATTGCAAATAATTCTTTTTGACAAACTCAGTAGTGTTGTTTGAAATGCAATTTAAATATTAACAGTTGCTTCATTAAAAAGTAGTGAAAAATTATCCATATGACGATAAAATGTAAACAAATCTGGGAAGGAAACTTAAAAGGATTTTAGGGCAGAGCCCTAAGGGAATTTACTTCGTTTTTCTGTTGATGGCTCTTCTACAGACCGATACCTTTTCTTGGACACCTCTACCAAGTTTCTACGCCCAGCCGGTCTCTCAAATTAGTAGGGACAAAGTTTCCAATTAAATGTTTAGATTCCCCCATGTTAATCTTATGGGAGAAAACCCAACTTTGACGGAAGATCCTGCCCAAACTAATAAAGATTTCAAAATATGAAAACCATTTTACAAATCTACAAATCAGGGTAATTTTTTTGGCACCCTAATCATCAAAATCGGTTCAAAAATTAGGGAGGAGTTTTGTTCACAAAATCGGCTTAGCGTTATATATATATATATATAGATGTTTTCTGTATCCTTGTTGATCTCGACAAGATGGAACTATTTGCTACTTGGCGGCATTTCAAACACATCATAAAATCCACAATTATTGAAGGAAACCTGCGTATGGATGATATGTAAATTTTGATAACGTGTATGGTTTTCATTCAATCTAATTCATAACTTTTTTTATAAAAGCTAACATTAAAAATTCAGTTTTTCTCAAGTAAACCAATCACATAAAAAATATTAACTAAGACACTATTATTTAAAGAGCTGTATGTATTACCATGTAAACACATAAACTTTGTTCGCATTAAAACATGTAGTTCTGTTCTTAAAAACCCCACAAGATTTATAAACTAACTAGGGGTCGCCGGATTTCTACCCCCGGATATTTACCCCCATGAAAAAACGCCTACGTCACTTTGACATCACATGTATGGGGGTAGATTTCCGGGCGCGAACTTTTAGGATGGATAAATTATTATATATTCAATCAACTCGCATT